TCCGCACTGTATCTGCCAGACATTTCCAGTATTTCTGGTCATCAGTTTTGTCAGATGCCCAACAGACACTATGGGATAAATTGGGCCAACATGCTCCATGTCTGACCCTTAACAGCTGTTGTCTCAATTTATGTCAATCCTTGCTGATTGCTGTACAAAACAGACCAGAGAACAATGCTGTAAGGTTTAATATACTGTATATATGGAGCTACAAGTCCAACATAGATTGGCTCAAGGAAAAATGAATACTCTCACAACTAGTAAGCAATTTTTCTTGCTTACTATATACAGTTTGAACCTTTAGGTCTGGTCATTCAGGCCTGATGAGATAATGTGCAAAAGAAGAAGAACGTTAGCCTGCAAGACAACTGCACCTGTTTTTTGTGAGTACAGTGAAAGAGAGAAAAAAGCACTCGGACCCCAAATTATACTGTAGTCCATCTATGACACAATAGACCTATCTTCACTTTCCTCAGTAGCAATAAGCAAGCTGCCAATTCCATTGTGAATCTCTTACCCATAGATGGTCCAAAACAGATCATGTGTTTCCATAATATGTCATTATAAGTTTGTTATACTGTATGTATTTTCTGCTAATTCCTTTTCTTTCCATTTTCTTTTAGGTTGTTGAGGAGGCAATAATTCACTTGAGCTGAGAACAAAGAAAGACAGTTTGTCTTTTCTTAAGGGGGACGTTGGGTCAGAAAGGTTCCATGAGTCCAAGAAAATGCCCATGACACACTCCCTAAGTTGAGACAGCTTAGAAGGAAACGGGTACCTCTCTCTTTGAAAGTACCGCCACCTTGAGGAGGGAACTTACACTACACAAAGTGAGAGCACACAGCTAAAACCATACTATCTTGTTGCGTCTTTGAGTACCCGCCCAGTATCTGTGAGGCAGACCATCAACATACACAACGTGGGCAGAACTGCCAGGGCTCTCTAGCACAACAGCATGTCATCAGACACCACAAATGGTGTAGAGAATGGTCTTTCAGGAAGAATCAAGTTTTGAGCAGAGTTGCTGCCTACTGCAGAGTTTACAGTGAATGTTCTGGAGGGATGACAGACATTAAGTTTGCATCAGCTGCCCTAAATCACAATCATTAAAGACACAATCATTAAAGACATCATTTCCTATTTTAGAAAAAGTACTCTAAATAGCATACGTCAGGCTCATCCCATATTCACCTGTCCAGCTGCCCCTGGTTCACTTCAGCTCCAACTACTGTAGGTTGGCTTCCTCATCCTACAGCAAGGGGGATGGACCTCAGCCACATTTGCTATGACTAAACACTCAATGCTGAAAGCACTTAATTCTTGGGTGCTTTTATTCCTTATGAAATATAGTTAAAAGAGATAGGTATTTGTGTGTGCCTGGACAGAAGGTGCATACATACTGTACACAGTAAAAGCTACAGTAGCTGAAATATTTATATCACTTTAATGAAATGCAAGCTTTTAACATGTTTCAATAAGCAATAACAGTTAAGGTCCTTAAAGCCTCATGTGAGATCACATTACACAGTCATGGAGCTCTTTAGTCTTTAGAAGATCATCTGAGGGTTTTCAGGTTGGACTGAAAAATCCTGACATTTTTATTGTTCCAGATTCTTTCAGAGATTGATTCATCCCTCTGTTTGTTAAAGTATTATTTCTGTATTCCTGGTAAACAATAGAAATTCCTTTTCTTGTCTTTCATTTAAACAAACAGCAGAAATTATTAAGTCTGCTGCCGAGAGTGCTGTTTTTGACATGGTTACTGTGCTGATTTTCAAGAGAAGGAAATTCCTATGGTTAATAAGGAGAGACACGGCTATTTAAATGTTCAGCATCAGACACCTCTGGGTACTGTAACTCTGTTTTGCAAACCTCAAGTCAGAATAGATTACAGCTTGGGGCATTGAATATGCTACAACCCATGAACATAATCCATTCATAAAGGAAAGACTAATTAGTTTTAAAGGTCTTTTTTTTTTCTTTTGATGCTTTCAAAAGATGGATTTCTCTTCCACCTGTTCTTGTGGTTAAAGTCAATGCTATGCAATTGAAATGTCATCTTTTCATGTGCTATTCTGAGATTTTCACATGTGATCATTGATGTTGGTGTATTACCTTTGATGCCCTATGTTTGATGTTCGTGTCATCTACTGTATGACATGGTTACTCTCACACACCAGCTGAAATCAGCACCATATTCGTAGAGTCTATAGAGGTACTTTAATAACAACATAAGCAAATTCAGTTTCCTTCCTCATTTACAGTATGTGCAAAAAATATTGTAACAACAGTGAGGTTTCGGTACAGAATGGAGCACGCTGACACAGCTCTAAAGTGCATTGGCAACACATTTATCAGCCTCACGCAGGGTTCCACACACATGCTGTACACAGGGTACAGCACAAACACTTATACTATAGACAGACACGGAAAGGAAGAGGGCGCCTGACAGCATCGGACTGATTCTTATTATATTCAGTCCGGTAAACCAAGTCCCACCTTTCAGGCGCTGTTCCCAGCCTGCCTTTGGTGCGCATGGCTAAGGGGGACGGACAGTCGTTAAAGCGCCACATGTACTGTAGTTGCTACAGTATTTTTTGTCAGTTTTACGCTTCCTGGTTAAGCAAAAAAATATTGATCAAAAGAAGTGTAAAAACAATCAGGGCAAAGTGCTGACTTTTTACAGCTCATTAGTTTGTTGAAGGTAATTTAGCCAATTGTGTTATCAGTCTATTTTTTGATGGGGGCAGTGAACAAAATTATTTAATGTGTCATCGTTGAAATAAATTAGGTACACATTTTTTCATTAAATTGTGCCCTTCCTAAATGCCCTGTCTTCATATTAATTTATTTAATCAGAAAATTATTAAATTTTCTAAATGCTTCATTAAAGTCTGCCTGATGAGCCCTGTTACAATAGAACAATAGGCATTTCCCAAATAAATCAGACTTTGAGGAGGGTTAACCTACTATATCATCGAGGGGCTCTCAGCTGGTAGAAAACTAATCTCAAATTATTCAGGGCTCAGCTGTGTTGAAGTGTAAAGATTTTTTAAATGAACAACTTAAGAAAACTGTAATCGGACATTGTTGTTAAATTACAAAGGAACAAGTAATAGGTTTATTCATTGCTGAAAAGAGAAGAGAGAAAACAACATTTCGGCTGTGAAGCCTTTAATTCTGTAGATCTACTGTACAATAAGAAATGTCTGTACTGATATCAGCCTAAATGCAAATGCACAGTAGATAATTGCACAATGTTTGTGAACCTGGTACTGTGAGAATTTGTTCAGGTGCTGAGCGCTTTGCTGAGTAAAGGGAAATTATGTGAAAAGAAACCCATATGCACTAAAATATGCACAAGCTCAAACAAGTTACTCGCAAATCTTTCTAGAGAGAAGGAAAAAAATATTTACACAATTAGTGCCTGAGAAATTAGTTTGTTAATCAGAGACGGAGGAATCGTGTAAGTACTAGGGCGGGTTAGAAGCATCAGAGTCTTGCAAAAGCCTTATTAACCATTTGAACTTTGATAAAGATGGCACACTAGTCCTATCTCTTAATCTTGTATGGATACTAATCTCTTGTCCTATATAGAATATATTAACCAAAAGTGTTGCTCTTTTCTCAGATTTCTCTCCTTCTTTCAGAAATATACTGTAACACATGTACAGTAACATGAATACTAAATTTAATTCCCTGTGTGCTGAGAAAACTTACAAAAAGCAAACTAATTTGCCAGTTTTCACAGTGATTCCATTTTCCATTCGGAGCTCATGTATTTAATTGAATAAACAGTTCTAATGTGTGTTGCAAGCAATTTAGCTACAATTTTACTGCTTTATTATTATTGATTATTGGAAGTCAAGATCCTGGCTTCTTATTTTCTTACATTTTTTTAGCTCTTTCCTTCCTTCTTTATGTTTTTAATATGTGTCAAAAAGTGTTAAATGTCAGTCGAAGAAGGTTATTAAGACAGAGCCTGTGATCATTCATCATCCCTCATCACACTGAATGGATGTTTCACAAGCTAGGCCACACCTAATGTGCTATTTAAAACATAATCTCACAGCTGCTACTGTAAATCTCTGTAAATCGCCCGTATT